GAGAGAGAGAGAGAGAGAGAGAGAGAGAGAGAGAGAGAGAGAGAGAGGATTTTGCAGGTAGTTTGGCCGAACTGCTGCCCCTGGGAGTCAAAGTGCTGAAGCGCAAGTGACGCGGGAAACTTTGGCTGGGCTCTCAAGAGATGAGAGTGACTCCAGCTGCTTCTCTCCGCTAACAGGTGGCCAAGATATCTGTAAACTGCCAAGCGCTCCTCAAGAGAGACGATTTTGCAGATAGCTTGGCTGAACTCCTCTGCAAAGGGAAGCACAACGTTGTTGCGCTTCAGTAACATGGAGGGTGGGGGGAGGGGGCTCATCCCTGAAGCGCCAGCATTGCTCCAGCAGCACGCCCCCAAGGACATTACCTTTGCCTGCACCTGTCACCAAAGCACGCCAGCCAGAGAAGCGCCCATCCAGTGCTCCATTCAGAAGCGCTGAACTTCCAATCGGCGCTGGAGGCAGCACTGGAAGGGAAGAGGCAGCGCCCGAAGGGGCTTCCACAAAGGGGAAAGAAAACCCTCCCACTGCTGCCACTGCTGATTTCGCCCCTCTCTTAAACCCTGCCAGCTCCCGGGTGTCCTGTTTGCAGTCCTGCCTGAGGATGCGCCCCCTGCCCTCCGTTACATGTCTATCGGGAGCAGCTGAGTCCAGCTTCTGGAGTCTTTCGGGGCACCAGGTGCAAAACCACATCCAGCCAGCCACTCCTTTGTCTGACAGGGAGATTTCTGGTTCCTTGTGTTGCCATGTTTTTTTTTTCTTCTCCCGTGGATGGTGGAGGAATTAAGAGTTTCACGTATTTGTGATGTGGGTCCCTGTCACAAAATTGGAGCCTTTTGGCAAGGCTTCTTGTATTTTATGTTATTGGCCCATTGCAGGCTGATAAATATAATAGTTGGGGTAGAGAGGTTGTTGAGAGAAAGAGAAATTGTAATATAATGGAAAAATAGTTCCATTTTATTATACTGGTTGGAGAGTAGCTTCTGATAATCATGAAATGTAAAACAGTAAATGTTTCCCCCTCCTAATCAAGGTGACAGTATTTAAGACCTGAGGCAATAAGCAGTAGACATTCAACAATACAGAATGAACCATTTTATGTGACACCTCACTTTTGATACTTAGAGAGAGTCAATAGAGAGAGCCAATTTTGCTCGTTAGCGGAGAGAAGCAGCCGGAGTCACTCTCATCTCTTGAGAGCCTGGCCAAAATTTCGTGTGCCACTGTCAGTCAAAATTCAAATTAGTGGTCCACGAGATTTAAAATTATGAGTTTGGTGGTCCCTGAGGTCCAAAAGGTTGGCGATCCCTGTTTTATACTGTCAATTGCATTATATTCTTAGTAAAATAATTATGAGGAATATGAGTATTATAAAAGTTTGGGTTGTTGTTTTTTTGATTCTGATAAAATCTGTTTATCATAAATGTATAGGTTCCATGAAAAGGTTTGCTGTGTTTGCTGAAAAAAATGCGAGTTATATAACATATTGGTTCATCAGGTTGGGCTATCTTGATGTTTATTTATGTATTACTTGTTTGATAGTTTTGCATTTTCAAAATGTATTTTCCTGTTTTGGAAGTGGCTTTTGTTTTTAAATTATTAAATTACATGCTTAAAAAAAACCTTTGCTATACTCGTTTGCTATGAATGGAGGTGTTTTAGTTTGGAGGCATTGTTAAGGGAACACTTATATTTAACCTGCCCTGGAGAAGAGAAAAAAAAATATTGTTTTCTGCAGACCTAATCTTGGAATAGTGTGAAAATACTTCTATAATTGTCTATGATCTGTTATAAAGAGGTGAGACTAAGTCTTTAGGACTGGAGTTGTAACCTGATCATCCCTTCCTGAATCAAAGCATAATTCGGAGAAAAGCTAAAATGAAGATCACATCCATGCAAGATAACTAAAATCAATTTCTATGGGCACCATCTCCCTCTTGCCAAATCCAGATGGTTCTGAGATATTGTCACTGGTTGCAAGGATTTGATTTTAATCTGTTTGTTCTTCCACCATGTTTCTGACTCTATAGATTGATTTCATCTATGCTTCCTTCAATGCATCCCTTTATACTCAGTCTCTATAGAGATCCCTATCCACAATTTGGTATCTCCCCATTATGTCTATTTCTTTTAAGATGTGTTATTTCAGATATTGTAACATATTAATCAGATATGTTATTTCTTTACTATAACCTGAGCCCAGAATTCCTGTTGTTAAGTGAGACATTTTTTAAGTGAGTTTTGTCCCATTTTATTTGCCACTGTTATTCAGTGACTCACTGCAGTTGTTAAGTTAGAAGCATGGCTGTTAAGTGAATCTGGCTTTTCCAATGACTTTGCTTGTCAGAAGCTTGCAAAAGGTGATCACATGACTCCAGGACATTGCAACCATCATAAATATGAGTCAGTTACCAAGCGTCTCAATTTGGATCATGTGACCATGGGGATGATGCAACACTCATAAGTATGAAAAATGGTCACAAATCACTTTTTAAAAGTGCTGTTGTAACTTCACTAAATGAACTGTTGTAAAGTCGAGGACTACCTGTCTGTAACGTTGAAGACTACATTTATCGGATGCCTAGTTTTTCTGTTGGATGGAAGTTCTGCTTCCAGAATTATTTATTTTTACTTTTAAAGCCCTACATGCCAGGAAATCAGGCTACTTATGGAATTTATTTATTTATTTATTTATTTATTTATTTATTTATTTATTTAGTCAAAAGCTTACAATACAATAGAAATAAGAATAAACATAAGTTTAAATATAAGAAATAGGTACGAATAAATGGGGACATTAGAAAGGGACGGTAGGCACGATTGTGTGCTTATGCACGCCCCTTACAGACCTCTTAGGAATGGGGCGAGGTCAACAGTGGTTAGTTTGAGGTTAAAGGAGTGGGGGTTAGAGGATGTAGCAACAGAGTCAGGTAGTGCATTCCAGGCATTGACCACTCTGTTGATGAAATCGTACTTCCTGCAATCAAGTTTGGAGTGGTTTACGTTAAGTTTATATATGTGCTCTTGTGTTGTTGTGGTTAAAGCTGAAATATTAACTATTTTCATCCCATTACATCACCCCCATCTCACCTGGTCTGGTAGTGAAGGCATGTTGTCAGATCAAGAGCTCCCACTTTTGTGGGGTCCAGGAAGAGAGCCTTCACTGCCATTGCCCCTGCCCCATGGAACATACTCCCCCCAGAAGTGAGGAAGCCCCCCACTCTCCTGACCTCCGGAAAGTTGTAAAAACAGGGCTCTGTGGCCTTGCTTGGGGAACGCAGAGAAGCATGCAACCATGGGGCCGAATTGCTGTCCTGAAGCCTTCCTTTCACCTTTTGATTATTTTTTAACATTTTTCTTCATCATTCTTGCCTCTTTTTTACCTTAACTTTTATATACTGTTTTTATTTTTTAATATTTTATTGTACACCACCTAGAGCAGGGTTGTCAAACTCAAGGCCCCGGGCCTAGATCCAGCCCACGGAGTGCTTAGATCTGGCCCAAGGGGCAGTCCTGGAAACACTGAAGGACCGGTCCACCGTCTCTCTGGCAGCAAAAACGGAGGTCGCAAAGTCCTGAGCTCGGTTTTCACTGGCAGAGGGTTGCGGGAGGTCATCGCAGCCAAAAACAGAGCTCAGGAGCCCATTTTTGCTGGCAGACTGCTCGGGCCACCACAGACGCTGTCCCAACACGAGTGACATCATGCTGGCCACACCCATCCTGGTCATGCCCACCCAGTTTCCGAGGTCAAGTACAACCCTGATGTGGCCCTCAATGAAATCGAGTTTCACACCCCTGGCCTAGAGTGTACAATATTCTTTGAAGGAAATGAGTGATTCCAAAATGCAATGAACAAAATAATTCTTACAAGGAAAGAAATTATCAGCTTTTTCTCCTGTTTCTATACACAGTCACCACTTGTAGTTTCAGAGAGGTTTTAATTTATGTGAAGCCTTCCCCAACATTTCAGAAGTCTGTTAAGTTGTTCTTTTGGTTTTCTATTGCTGCTTTTAACTCGGGCCATGTAATATCTCTATCCATGTAATATCTTCATCTCCTCCTTGATTATTTTATCTTTAGTAATACCCAAATCGTTTCTTATCATATCCTCATTTACCTCCTTCTTTTTATAAAGATCTCCAAAAAATTTACATGCAATTTCTTTTTTCTGTTCTATCCCTTGTTGGGCATCCCCATTCTCATCTATTAATTGGTAGATCAATCTTTTTATTTTTTTATTTTTTAAGTTTATAGGCCAACTACCTCCTGTTCAAAAAATACCTGTCTGGCTGTATTTAACTTTGAAAACATTCCTTCTTGTTCGATTAAATTAAATTTATGTTTAGTTATTATCATCTGTTTTTTCAATTTGCAATCTTTTGGGGTGTTTTGCAGCTGAATTTCTAATTCTTTGATTCTTTGTTCTAATTTATTTTGTTGGGCATATTTTTCTTTATTTCTTTTAGCAGTATATGATATCGTTGTGCCTCTTATTATTGCCTTCATTGTATCCCAAATATTCTGTTTTGTAGTTGCCTCATTATTATTTTCTTTTAAAAATAGTCTAATTCCTCATCAAGTTTATTCATAAATTCTTTCTCTTTAATTAGCTGTGTATTTAAGGTCCACCTTTTCCTTGGTTTCTTCCTGCCTTTCCACACTATCTGAATCGGGTTGTGATCTGCCCATTCGTTTGGTAAAATTTCAATCTCTTTTAATTCATTTACTAATTCACCATTCATCCACACCATATCGATTTGTGTCCATGATTGGTGAGGGTTGGAGTAAAATGTAAATTGCTTTTTTTTCAGGGTTTAATTTCCTCCACATGTATATCAAATTTAGTTCAATCATCATTTCTTCACGTGTTTTTGGTAGTTCTCTTTTTTTCTTCTCCCCCCCCCCCCCCTCCTATGATCTTTCTGGTGGTCCACAATAGCATTGAAATCCCCCAAGATGCAAATATTCCTTTTATCTAATTCCACTAATTTCCCATGTAATTGTTTAAAAAATTCCTTTTGGTTATTGTTAGGGGCATAGATTACCACTAGTAGAATTGGAATTGATTTAATCCAAATTTGTAACACCAGAATTCTTCCATTGGGGTCTATCCAAATTGGCTCTGTTTTCATATTGTCTTTCACATATACTGCTATCCCTTTCTTTTTCCTAAAATCTGCTGGCGACGTATACAAATTCCCTAGCTTGGGGCATTCTAGATATTTTTCTTCTTCCTTCCTTATATGAGTTTCCTGTAAACATATTCTATCTGCATTTTGTTTAATTAATTTGGTTAATATTATTTTCCTTTTTATCATAGAGTTTAGGCCATTTATGTTAATTGATAATATATTCTTTTCTTCATCCATCACCTAATTGACTCTTGCTCTTTGTCTTGTAGTTACTCCTGTCTCTCTTTGTGGCTGATTGTACATCTTCGGTTCTTCTCTCTCTTGATGTTGTTTATTTTTCGAATTCCTACAATTCCCATCTCTATTTTTCTGGTAGTCTTGGTCGTCTTGCGAATTCATTTCTAACTCATCTCTACTACTCGATTCTTCATGGCCTATCAATCGTTCGTAGAATTCTTGGGCTTTTTCCATGGAGTCTACTTTAATTTTTCTTTCTTCTCAAGTGATTAGCATTGCCTCTGGGATTAGCCATCTAAATATGATACCTTTTTGGTTTAATTGGTTCACCAAGAATTTATAATCTTGCCTCTGCTCTCTCACTCTTCTTGGGATTTGTTTAAGCACCAAGATTTCTTTTATTTTGTATGTAATTGTTTCTTCTCTAGAAATTTTGTATATAATATCTCGAACTTTCCTTCTGGCAAATCTCACATGGACCTCTTTTGGATGTTTATGTCATCTTGCGTAATTTGTGCTCACTCTGTATACTTCGTCTAACTCTTTCAGAATATCATCCTTATCTTTTTCCAATAGTCTGCTAATATTCCTGCCATCACTTGTTCTAAGTCCTCTTCTTTAGATTCCATTATATTTTGGAATCTCAGATATGCTGCAGCCTTGTTCATTTCCAAATATACCAAGGAGTCGTCCATTTCTTTACTCACATTTCTTAATTGCTGACCAACCATTTTCAGCTTCTTTTCTGTTTGTTCCGTTCTTTTCTCAACGTCCTTTATTGTTGATTCATTTTCTAGTGCTTGCTGTATTGTTTCAATTTTTTGTTCCAACTTTAGGATGTCTAGTTTCATTTCTGCCTTTAAGTTTCCCATCTCTTCTTTTAGTTCATTTGTGTCAGCTCTTGATTCGATATGATTTTTACCACTATTTCCTGGAGCTTCAGCATGGACTCTTGTAAAGTAAGAAGGATTGATTGAATATTGGCATTCGTGATGGTAGGTTGTTTTTCTCCAGGTAGAGTTTCTTCAATTGTCTTTTGTGCCATCACTGAGGTTGATGGCATTGAAGTTGTTTGTATTGAAGAGGTCTTCTTTCCAGTTTTAAGCATTGTATTAGTGACAGAGGTCATTTCTTGTAAAATTTGTTTTTGTTTTTATATTATATTACATATGTTGTCCCAAATTAACATTCACTATTGAGAAGTATCAACTATAAATGGCCACTACGCTAATTAATATGATATGTTACAGGATTAACCTCTTATCAATATATATATATTCTCCAGAACACTTTTACAGCTAATTTCTAAATCAAATATCTAGATTTGTAAATCTTAATAATATATCAAATCCCTTTATTTAAATTTAAATACTATTGACCTGTATATCTATAAGTGCTATAGAATCCCAAATCTCAAAATAGTGTTATGAAATAATATTTCAAATACTTGCAAATCTAAATAAAGATATATCAACCTTACTACACAATAATTAATTAGTTAATCTATAGTAATCACAATTAATCACAATTAATTATTTAATTCAATCTAATCAATGCCTATAATCAAATATCTATACCTAAATAATTAATTATCACCTCCCTTTTTTTGTGTGTGTTATAACCAAATATAAACTTCAATATTTACTAATGTATCAATTAAATCATATATAAATTACATTTACCACATTCAAAAATCAGTTGAGTTGGTGTCAAGAAATAATTATTGCAATCCGCAAAGTTTAAAAGCTTAAAGTGTCTTAATATAATTGTTCAGTTCTTCAAGATTCCTTCACCGAGCACACCGGAAGCACAGATTTGCTGAGTAATGTCTCTGATTTCACTATCTCACCACATTTTCCGCTGTAGTCATTTCTCCTTTCGTTTAAAAGCTTTACAAGTCAATTTTTAGATTCAAATAGTCTCTTTCTTGGATGGAAGGCTGAGTCAACCTTGAACTGATGAGAATTGAACTGCTGGCAGTTGGCAGAATTAGTCTGCAATACTCCATTCTAACCACTGTGCGACCATGGCTCATTTTAAGGGGAACATAAGCACCACAGAAGTGTCACAAAAAACAAATGTGTTCTCTGTCTCTTTTTTGTTTGTTTGCTTCAGACAAACTGGCTCCCAGTTATGCATGTAGAATTTTCTCTGCTTGGTGCTTAGGTCCAGTCACATTTTGCTGGTGTGCTGAAACTATTTATTTAAACTTGACCTGACTCATTTTTTTTTCCCTATCATGGGAAGCTTAATGTGGTTTAGGACTTTTCATACTAAAAAGTCACATATTTTTCTCTCAGTGATAATTATAGTTCTGCAAAATCTTAAGTGGATTTTTTTCTCTCTCAAGTAATTTCAAAATTCCCATTCTATCACAAGATTTAGCCAGATTAAGTGCATGTAGTCTGTCTTGGTTAATCCCAGAAAACTAAACAAAGTAGATACTTGAATAGGAGATCATCAGAAAACCCCAGAGGCTTAGTCAAGACAGCTAAGTATCCTCCACCAAAGAAAGGAATAGAGAACATAATTATGAAAACCTCTGATGTGGTTAATTTGAAAAAGTCTTTGCTGAACCACAGATCAAGGGAATCTGATTTCATAAATTGTAGTAAACCATAAGGTGGTTGGTTGGTTTGGCTGAAGTTCAGTCATGAAAAGTTGAGTCATTCTCAGTTAAGTAGTTCCTCACATTTATGTGCCCTGAAATGCTGCTTTTCAGGACTGAGCTTAGCTCAGCTTAGCTTTATGAGTAGTCCTTGACTTACGACCGCAATTGAACCCAAAGGTTCTGTCACTAAGTAAAACATTTGTTAAGTGAGTTTGCCCTATTTTACAACCTTTCTTTCATAGTTGTTAAATGAATCATTGTTAAATTAATCAAACCATTGTTAACTGAATCTGACTTCCCCATTTATTTTGATTTTGTGACAGTTGCAAAAGGAGATCACATGATCCCTGGACACTGCAATCGTCATAAATATGAGTCAATTGCCAAGTATCTGAATTTTGAGCACATCACCATGAGGATGCCATAAGGTTGCCAGTGTGAAAACTGGTCATAAGTCACTTTTTACAGTGTCGTAACTTTGAATGGTCACTACAAGAATTGTTGTAAGTTGAGACTAACTATATTGCAGTTCGGTGAAGCTTCTCCATTTCATATAGATTTAGCTTATACCCTAACATTCTTCCAAGATATCTAAAGCCATCAAAGCCACCATGACCAGAGGTGACCTTATAGCTGGGTGAAATGAAACAGCTACTTCAAGTGGCAGATGGAATGGGTAAGCTTTGTGGTCAAGTTCCTCATTACTGCCCTCCTAGCCAACTGCCTGGATCAGCTGCTGCATTGCACACAAGTTTTGCAATTCTCCAAGCAACTTGCTGTTCCATCTAATTGTTCTATAGATCAGGGGTCCCCAACCACCGGTCCGCGGACCGGTACCGGTCCGTGGAACAAGTCCTACCGGGCCACTGGCTTGTTGGGCGCCGCCATCTTGTTTTGATGAAAAAGTGCTTCCGGTGAGCTTTTCCGGGTAGAAGCTCACCGGAAGCACTTTTTCATCAAAACAAGATGGCGGCGCC